GTCTGAGCGCAGAGAAGCACATCCTGGTCGTTTCATTTGTGTTCAAATATCCAAGACTCACACACACTAGCAAGGCGATGGCAGCAGATGGAAAGAAGGATCTAAGTTAATTAAAATTCAGGTTTTATACATGCTTTCAGCAGATGAACAAACAAGAATGGAAAAAGGACTCTATCTAAGATAATAAATTCACTGCAAAAATGTAGAACTTGGAAATAAAAACATCTCATTGAGTAGTTGCACAGAAGAAAAGGCGACTTTTTCCCATCAAGGCTTTCATGAGATCAATAAAATACAAGACTAAGAGCATCATGCACAACTTGCGATCCCTGCCCATATATGTGGTTTAAAGAATAATCTACCATAGGGTCTCTAAACAATATCAAATCCCATCTCTATTTTTCAATACTAGTTAAGGGCCACATACGCTCATTTGCTGCATTTAACATAAGAAAGACACAGTGCTGAAACATTCCGTTAAGCAACTGAGGCATAGTTTAGTGGCAAGGATGGGGATCTAGTTAAAGGTATCAGGTTCAAACCGGACTATAGTTTCTACTAAAAAAGAAAAAAAAGTGAAACGTCCACATATGAAGGAAATAATAGAAAGATGACAGAGGGAATTAGAAAACAAATCTGATTTGTACTGTGTCTACATAATACATATTATAGAATAATCCTATGTATATTTTAGGTATATATATTATAAATGAAGTCATCAGCTACACGATTTGTTCGTACACCTGTCATGTCAGGATCCAATTTCCATGACCATCAAATTCCTTTTTAAATATTATTTAGTTAGTTTATGCTACATTGGTTATTAGGTTTATCGAAATGAAACCAAGTAAGAAAAACAATTGTCATGAGCTTGCATTAGATCAGTACCAAACTTTGCGCTTAATCAACTTGCAAGCTCACATGTGAGTACTTGCTCAGGAGGGGAAATTATTGTAAATAGGAATGGAGTTAGCATATTTTATTTTGTTATTTCTTTGTTTCATATATAAGAGAGGAACGGATAGATCTTTTTTTTCAAGAAAAAAATCTACCAGTTAATATCTTTACGAAATGGATTTCAAACAATCTTAATGTAGTTCCCCTTTAAAAGATTTCATATTAATTTGTATATATTTTAGCAATTTCTTTAGTACTGTTACCTTTAAAATAGTTTACAAGCTGAAAAGTCTTCTTTGTACTGTGTGCACGTAAGTCTTTGTATAACTCGTTACAACTTTGATCGTCACAACAAGCTCAAAAAGATTGGTCTTGTTATAAGACTTTTACACAATAAAAATAAAAATTACAATCTCCTTCAAACAACACACAGATCCTATTTATTAGTCTCTATTTGCGTGAGATCTTTGCCTGTGTCGGGGACGCGTTAGTCCGTGGACTGTCGCGGATCAGATCCCGTTGACAGAAGATTGATTAAAAGCTCTTACTTCACAAAGGAAGTAATCGCAGAAGTGATAATCTCGACCAAGCGAGATTATGACTCTTCTCGAGATCAAAACAAAATATGATCCGGAGGAAAGGGGGGAAATGTGCCTCAATTCCTTCGAAAAGCTTCCTCTTTATGCTGAAGTTCGCCAAGATCTGCTAGCCTCTCTCAAATTCGTCAGAACCTCGCCCTAGCTCCTCTGAAATTCGTGACTCCCTTCAGATCTACCTTTATGAGAGTGCTAGGGGTGTATTTATAGGCTTTAAATGTCGTGTTTGTGAATAGGGTCGAAGAACAACCGTTATTATCCGTTTAGGTGGATTTTCAGTTGTGTAACAGCTTTCACACCTTTAAGGATAACCCCACATGTTTATGGATGACCCCAAGGAGTTCTAGAAGTCAATCTTATCAGAAAACACGTCGGGAGCTGACCTGGTCGCGAGTCACTTCGACTGTCTCGCACATGTCCGAGATAGCTTGAACTGTCTCGGGTATTTTAGTCTTAACTCTTTCGTCTGACCTCGGAATGAGATGATTCAAGATGCATTGGAAAGCTGACAAAGATACCTATAACTTTTATCTTTTGAGATTCTTCATATTCGAATCGTATCATGGCCAAAATGTGCGAGACACAATTAGTGTCTCGCAGGTGCAAAATAATTTGGACTGTCTCGGGTATTTTGGCTCTAACTCCCTCATCTGATCTCGGAATGAAGTGATCCAAGGCGCGTTAGAAAGCTTGCGAAGATCTCTACAACCTCCCATGGGAAAGCCACCTATGGGATGAGTAAGACACGAGTGGTGTTTACTCCTTTGTGGGTAAAACATAACCCCAGGTCGAGTCGCTTCTTCGTTATTGTCCCATCCCATTGATTTATATGCTTTATCAACTCACTTCGTGTGTTTGTTAACTTCTCTATGATATCAAATAATCCTCCTTGATTCGGATAATGACAGTCATCATCTTCTCTTCATCTCGAGCTGCGTGCGGGAACCCATAAGCAATTTTTGACGCCTACACCTTTAAAATAGTTTACAAGCTGAAAAGTCTTCTTTGTACTGTGTGCACATAAGTCTTCTTTGCAATGTGTGCACATATAGGGGTCTAAATTTATTTCTATTGAAATGGTGGATCAGCACTCTAAATCCTGAGTCTAATACGTTTCCGCAACCCACTTTTTGCAGAATCACCAAATTCAACAGTTCAGGCATCCTTTGATAAGATCATGGCAAATTTAGAAGAATTTAGGAGCATAGCTGCAATTGTTCCCTCACCCCTTACCTCCCTGTCCTGTCTGCTTTCTTCCTACACCTCAAGGGCCTCAACCCAACTGCAGCTAAATTTGAGGGCAGTGTAGAGTAGTCCCATGACCAATAAGATAGGTCTCATTACCATTCTACCCGTCAACTTGCCCTCCTATACTGTTTCTGAGATCTCTAGAAAGCTTGTTCACAGTTTTCTTGCTTGGGATTTGGAACCAATTTAAAAGGGCTGACTGGAATATTGCAATCGCCTTTTTTTAGATTCCTAGGCTAGGAATTTGTGCCCAATTTAAGAGGGCTGACATCATCTATAAAATGTTTTCAAATTTATCACAGAAACTTATGCCCCAAAGCTGAACAGATTTTGATTGAGAAAAACTTCGATGACGATGAGATGATAACTAGAAATAGTTTCTCTGCAATTTTTGAAACCTTGTGATTAGAAAAAAGAAATATCACTTCTTCCACATCATAATGGGCCCAAAAGCTACAAACTCATCCAAATAGTGGAGAAAATACTCCTAACTAAGAAGTCAATTCTAACCAATAATATCTAGAAAGTCTTGAGAGATTATTTTCAGAATCAAAAGGATACTTGTTATTTATATTCATCTCCAACACTAACAGTAACCTTAACATCTTCTGAAGAAGTCTCAGATAAAGCTACTTCTGAAATTTCAACTTTCCCAACCAGTTAATAAATACTGAAACAACCTTCACTGGCCTCGAAGACAAATATTTACTCTGACCTGTGTGCAACCTTAATCAGTATAGCTGAAACTAAACAACTTTTACACACACTATTTAATCACACATCACAAAGGTTGAATTAGATAATACAATGCCACAAAAAACTAAAGCTATGAAACAAAATATAACCACTATAGTAGCTGGGAATGATCATTTATAACAAGACATATTGGCAGGGTCGAAACATCCTATATAAATGTAAAATATACTAGCAATATTTTAACAATATTACTTTTCTATCGTGCAAATCATAAGCCCACCAAGTTATGCGCAATAAACTGAAATTAAGAGTAAACGGCACACAAGAAGCATATACAACTGTTATATCATAGATATAATTAGTGCAATTTAGCTTTTAGCTACACATGGTGGTCTCTTCAAATTTCAGTACATATGGACAGCAAGGGAGATGCACAAGTCTCTTCCAGGATATACAACTGCATATTTAGTCATGAATTCTATTGTGATCTTGAAATTTTTATTTATCATAACTGATGGATGAATGCAAGGACTTGGAACCGATTCTTAATGTCGGTCAAATATCATGGTATATAGGAAGTGGATTTCTCTATATCTCAAGCTTTTTCCAAATTAGGAAAATCATACGAAGATCTTTTCCCTTTTCCCTGATAATGTAATCCTCTCATTTATTGTCTTAATAAATAATCATTTATCAAGTTTTTGTTTGGACTTTGAACAAATTTTCTTAACGTCTTGTTTTGTGACTAATAAGATAACTGCAGTGGTAGTTTTTACAACTGTCCTTTATTCTAGATAAAGGGTAGGACATTCCATTTATTAGGGATTTTCTTGGTTTTTGATTGACGTACGCTAGGTGGCATTATATAAATGCACATTCAAAGGAAAGAAACATAATTGCATAATAAGAAGCATACCTCTCAAAACACATCCGTACCAAACAGAAGATCCTTGACCCACTTGAACATCTCCAATTACAGATGCACTTGGGGCAATAAATGCTTCTTTATGGACACTGGGTGCTTTGTCAAATATGTTCATCAGCGTACGGTGCCTTGACACTGAATATATAGAAAATTTTGCAGCTGTTAGCAACCTTAAACATGAAAATTGAAAAGCTATGTATACAATCAACGGGGAAATGCAGAAAAACACAGCTAAAGGCACCGCAATATTGCTTTTCTATATATAATACAGTTCAGGCATTAACATTTTTTTGTAATAAAATACAGTGTACTAACGAGGATTATGAATACATCACTATAGGTCTAGAAATAAATCTATTTGAGTATGAGTCTAAGGACCAATTTGGTAGCAGGTGCATTTAAAAATAAATTAGGATGAAGCTTCGGGTTAAAAAGCAAAGAATCCCAACAAGTATCCCAGGACTTTTTATTTTTTTCACCACCCAAACTTTAGGGTCCATTGCACCAAGTCCTGTGAATTTTTGGGGTGTTGCGCAATACCCCATCTAAACTTTGTAACTTCTATGCTGAACTATTATTTTTACCACGATCATCAAATAAATCTCCTTAACACCCTTATGTTTCACCAGAAAAATTGGCTGTTTTTTTTTAAAGTCCATTTTGGATATTTTGTCTTAATCTATGACTAAGTTAATGTTAATTCTCAAAATTTGCCCTGGAATTTTTTTTTTTTTTTTATTTTTTTGGTGCAAATGGGGTTTGTGAAATTTTGCAAAGATAAGGGGTTTACCCAACATATGGGGGATTCTGAAATTATTTTATGTATTATTTGGATTACCGTGCAATCTGTTTTAAGGTTTCAGTTTGCCTGAAAACAATGGTGCTCCTTTAGCTTGCCAATAGTATGTAAATTAGCTGTGGTAGTGGTTTGGAATATACTTAATCATGAAGTTAGCAAGCCATTAAGAACTATCAAGACATTAAAAAAGTAAATAGGAAGCTGAAACGACAGTTTATCTTCAACAAAAAACAGAAAGTAAACATTGATAAACAGTAGGGATTAAGGAATAAAGTCTAGCATACAAGTAAATATGTATAGGAAATGTCTGCCTATTCTAGTACACTCAACAAAAGACAATATAGAGGGCAGTGAAAGAATATAAAAGAATGAGAAATACTAATGAGAAGGATAGCAACAACAAAGATTATGTCCAAAGTTTTGGGGTAGGCTACATTAATCCTTTCTTCCATTCAGTCATCTTACGGGTCATCCTCTCGGTTAAATTAACTACGTAATTTTTTACTCCCCACGCAATGTCCATTAAAGGCTAGCCCCCAGTCCTCCTTGTTCACTAACCATGATCCCATGGCTCCTAACTGATACATTGTTCCCCCTCACTTCATTTTCAGTAGAATAAAATCCTAACTTCTCAAAGATTTACCCACTTCTTATCCCGACTGTTAGCATATGCCATTCATTCATCTCAAAATCTATCTGAACCACCCTCATTTTTCTGTGCCTGTATTTCAATTAAAATTTAAATGGGACAGATCGAACAAGAAAACTCTTTAACTTTTCAGGAAAAGATATAGTTCGCTAATAGCTATACCAGTCACCCTTTCATAGATTAAAAATTGGAATCCTAAGAATTGCCATTGATAATCGAACAAGAATGTCACCTTTGTTATCTATTATCTGCTATAATGAGAAAATCTTACTAATTACTATGGACTAGCGCAGGCATTGGATGACAGAGGGAAAGCCTTCTAAAATACTAACTAAATTTTCTGAATAAAAATCTTTATGAAAATTTGCTGTTTCTAGCTAAAAGCATCGTCGAATTTCCCAAAACACATCTTTGACATTGGATAAGAGATGAAGAGGGTGCTTGGCAATTTGTTTTCAAAGTTTTAATTCTAGATGAAGCAGTTGATGTAGTGCTTTCAAAGAAGGCAAGAAAGTAGTTGTCTTCATTTGGCTATGGGATCCTTTGGCCCAGGGATAGGGCTTGAGTTAAATGTAATCTAATAGTACAAGAAATAAGTTTTCTTTAAATGTGATCCAATGGGGGCGTGGGAACGTACTAAAATGCTCAATTGCAGAACCAAATGAAAATTTATAACGAAATAAAGTGTGAATAATTCTTCTTCATGATAGCTAAGACTCAAATAACCTAAACACGCAGGTAGACAATAAACATAGCTGTGATGAAGAAAATATCAAATATCACAACAGACTTCAAAATATATCTCAAACGATATATGATGAAGAAAATATCAAACATCACAACAGACTTCAAAATGTATCTCAAACGATATATTTACTTTCTATATTTTGCAAGTACTAACTAAACCGAGTTTACAACTTGTGGGATTCATTAAAACATAATGAATTTGTTGAATCCAGTAATAAGCGCTCGTTCTTTGTTGAATTCTATGCGTGAGCATTACTCCTCCAACTTACCTCTTCGGTTATCACCATCATGCGCTAGGTGCTTAAAGTTCCAACAAGAAGATAATTTTTATCACAAAGTTACTAATTTCTAACTGAACGGAAACTAAATCAGAAATAATCACAAGAAATGAAACTAGAAATTGAACGAAGAAAGGGGTTTGATCGATTACGTTGCTCTTGGAAATAGTAGTTGCCCTGGAGGCGAGATCCGAGGCGATCGATGGCCTGTCCCGTCTCTCGAATCCAGAATCCAACGGTGTAGATCGCTTTCCCCAATGTCCCCATTTGATCTTTCAAATTAGGGTTTTTTTTTTAAATTTAAACTTTTTAGCTGGTTTCGGGAAAAAGATGTTGAAGAGCAAAGAACAGCGACGAGGGTAGAGGGAGAGAGAGAGAGAGAGAGAGGAGATGCCGATGGAATTGGGGTTTATTTGCGGGCAGTGATGGATCGATTGACTGAAATGCCATTGATATTTGACTTATTGACGAAATGGGACTCGATTGGGTTGGACTTGGGTCAAGCATTGCTCTGTCGGAATGATAAAATGGACTTGGGCTGTTACTCTTGGGCATTGTGGCCCAATGTTAAAGATGGGCTGGCCATTGCCAAAAAAATTTAGATAAAAAGTTTCTAGCGACGAAAGTCGAGTCTTTCTTCAAAGCAGGCTACTTTTAATGAGTGGGTTGGCAACTATCTAAAATTGAGGCAGGTTTAAACTTTAGTCTACTTTTAATGAGTCTTTTAATTGGTAAAAACTAGATTAGAAATGACTTAATTTGTTTTAGACCAATTTTTCAGTTTAAGTCATGGAATCGGAAGGAACTGGTCCACGACTAATTTGGTTTTCTTCAGAACCAATTCTAGAACTAAATTTGGTTCATTTTCAATGAGTTGCCAAACAAAACTGAAAAAAAGGGGTAGCAAAATTGTATAAAACCCCTCAAATATCGTATAAAACATTCAAAAAAAATGTTATTATACCTTATTCTAAAGTACAAAATCTATGATTAGTGGACCCAACAATCTTTTTTCAACTCTCAACATTTTCTTAAACAAGCAATAATTATGAGAATCTTTTTTTTTTTCCAAAACCAACTTTTCATCCCACTATCATATGAACCAAACAAAAAATTTAGAAATTTGAAGAAGTGTGGATTCTTGACATTGTCATAAATCCACAGTACTCTACAGTACAAATGCTAGATTAGAAATGACTTAATTTGTTTTAGACCATTTTTTCAGTTTGTCATGGAATCGGAAGGAACTGGTCCACGACTAAATTGGTTCTCTTTAGAACCAATTCTAGAACTAAATTTGGTTCATTTTCAATGAGTTGCCAAACAAAACTGGAAAAAAAGGTAGCAAAATTGTATAAAATCCCTCAAATATCGTATAAAATGTTGGATATTTTATTAAAGAAAAGGCAATTTAACATGTTTTACATATTTTATTTTCGTCGGCAATTAATACGTGCATAATGGTTATATAATTATGGCGAACGTTACCGTATTAATTACGGGTTTATTGCGTAATGGTCGACATTATGACGTACATTACTGTATTGATTGCTAGGATTTGTAACAGCTCTTTAAGACCCCTATATAAGCAGCCCTTCACATTCTCGGAAAAACAACAAGAAAAATAACAAGTCTCTTCTCTCCTCTTTATATTATTTCTTTATAGTATTGGTTTTGTTTTTGGACAACTTTCTTCATCTGAGCAGAAGCTCTGTATTCTCGCCCGAGTACAGAGGCCGGCCGATTCCGGGGGTTTTTACCGTTAGGGAAGAGGGGATCATCTGCGCCAGAGCGATAGGCGTATCCTCAATCTTCTAGGGTAGTGAATACACGACTGCTCCCGATCAGGCCAGATTTAATTATTTATTTTATTCGGATTTATTTCATGCTATAATTGTAGGCGTCAAAAAATGCTCATAGATATCCAAACACAACTCAAGGCTGAGAAGAGAACAATGTACATGTAACGACAAAATACACCGATAAATAACCCATGGTGACACGCCTTAGGCACGGCAGCCTATGGTGACGCGCCTATAGCGCGCCAGTCCATAGTGGCGTGCCAGTCCATAGTGGCGCGCCTATGGCGCGTCAGTCCATGGTGACGCGCAAACTATAGGGAGGGTGTCGTGGCGGTTACAAAGCAGTTATACGATGATTTTCAAGGTCCATGTGGCGGCATATCAGAAAAAGAACGTGTGCTGACGTAGACAAGCAGTTAAACCACGAAAAAAGTGGTTAAAAGACGTGAGAAGACAGTTTCAAACAAACTGGAATGTGGCTGTAACCGCTTCTTTGGCCGCGCCGGTCCACACTGGTGCGCCAATAGCCGTGACAGTGTAGACTGGCGCGCCCAAAGAGCAATCACTTGGTCAGTTATTTCGTCTCCGTTTCCACTGTTGTGCACTCATATCCCTATAAATACCTCCCTAGACACGAAACAAAGGAGATCGAGCAAATTAGAGCAGATTGGGGCATAGAGACTTAAGCTTTTGGTGAATTGGAGCAAGAGAGAGAGTCTTCCTTCTTTACAAACATCCTCAAGAAGATTTTGGCGATTCCTAGAGATCTAAGCTCTGACTTGATCTTTAGAAGAGTGAACATCTTACATCGATAAGATATGCACTTTAAATTCTTACTTCGATAAACGAAGGAAGAATTCCCAAAACCTTCACGATTCAATCAGAATCTGTGAATCGGTGGTCCACGGGCTAACGCACCCCCGGCACAGGCAAAGATCCCACGCAAGCAGCGATCCAAACAACGATCCTGTGTTTGTTTCTAAGGAGCTTGTAATTTGATTTTTGTTGTAAAGAGTAGTTTTACAAAGTATGAAACTCACTCTTTTGCATTCATTGTAATCGATAAACAGTTATAATGAATTCTACAACAGAACTTGTTCCTGACGCAAACAATAATCTTAATTATTTGATAAATTTCTAACAATCTAGAAGATTGAGTATTCATAGTTGTTAATTTTTAAAATCGAAAAAAAAATTAAAAATTACTGTTTGTCAACAGTTTAATGTTCACTCGAAAAATTCCCAAGATTTTTTTTTATAGTTACTGTTCACACAAAGAAAATATAATTGCTTTAATTATATATTTGTTTATCTATTAGTATTATTGATTTGTTGTTGTTATAAAGTTTAAAAAAAAAAGTTTGTAACTGTTACTGTTCATTCCGAAAATAAAGACTTTACTGTTCATATTAAAAGATATCATTTACTGTTCATTAAAAATGTTACTATTTAGCAAAATAATTATTGCTAATTGCTTGCTTATCTATTGTTTTAATTTAAAAAAAATTCAATTTTGGTTACTGATCATTTGATTTATAATTGCAGTAATTAGTTTTAATTATTGTTGATAATTATTGCTTAAATAATTACAATTAATTGTAACTTGTAATTGGAAAGGAATATATAATCCTATATAGCAGTTAGAAATTCTTTATAAATTTGGCTATTGATTTATATCATTCACTTTATTTGTCTCAACCTTTGTTTCATGTGCATTGCAATGACAAACAATCATAGAAATACACTGACATACAACCATATGTAGGTTTGTAATGATCAAATATAATTTGCTAATAGAAACATGCTATAAATTTGCAGCAGTGTACATATATTTATTCTTGAAAGTCTCATATACATGGTTTTGACAAGAGAACAAACTCCGGATATATATATGCTCTGAAGTATTTGAATTTATTCATGGTTTAATGCTTTCATTTCTTTAAGCTATTAATATGATGCCTTCAATCAATAATTTCATACTTTGGAGTATTTATGCATCTAATAAGCTTAGTACAGAAGGTGATAAAAGTGAATGTAGATTTGTTCTATAACTTATGTGGAAGTTGTCTGTAGCAGGTATATCTATCAATGTTATTTACTTTTGTGGGCCTATAAAGCATTTTATATTCTGATACAAATCATTTGCAGCAGTGTACATATATTTATTCTTGAAAGTCTCATATACATGGTTTTGACAAGAGAACAAACTCCGGATATATATATGCTCTGAAGTATTTGAATTTATTCATGGTTTATTGCTTTCATTTCTTTAAGCTATTAATATGATGCCTTCAATCAATAATTTCATACTTTGGAGTATTTATGCATCTAATAAGCTTAGTACAGAAGGTGATAAAAGTGAATGTAGATTTGTTCTATAACTTATGTGGAAGTTGTCTGTAGCAGGTATATCTATCAATGTTATTTACTTTTGTGGGCCTATAAAGCATTTTATATTCTGATACAAATCTCATGCCTCTGGTTGGCTTGGAAAAGTCACGGAAACAACAAATTATATGAATTCTCAGTTTTACCCCTGCAAATTCTCTATTCGAATTAAATGTTTGCAGGAATTTTTTTTGTGAAGTTACTATTCACATATACTGTTAAGGAACAAAAACTCATTGAGTGAACCGATTCAAGTTTTTTTGGATTAGTTGGTGTCTAAGACAAGGTTTAGGGGTTGCGTAACGCACTCTGTAAGGAACGAGTTACTTAATTGATCTTTGATCAACCCCTATTACTATCCTTACCTGGCTAACTACCCGGATAAAACTTTAATCTTTTCGCTTTAGGAGTTTTTAGTCTGGAATAGAGGTCCGGAATTATGAGAAAAATTCATATGCATTTATTAATTACGCTTCTTGCATCATATATTGCCTAATGATAAATGATCAATATATAAGCGAACCAAATCAAAGAGGTGCATTTTTTTAAAAAATTTTATTTTATATGGTGGATTATATTTCAAATCTTCAAATGTAAAGTTCATCTCTTTTATTGCATCATGATGGATATTGCAATAAATGTTCATATGTCCTTTTAGATAACTTGCATTTGTTACATGATTAATTACAAGGTTTTATGCAAGAATGCACTTGTAAAATTTATAGCACGTATGTACAAATAATAATTTTATTATTATTATTATTTGTATAAGAGGTGGTACTAGAAAATGGCAACATAAATTTGGAAGGTCTCTTTTGTAGACAACCGATTTAAATTTGGAAGGTCTCATTTGTAGGCAACCGATTTAAATTTGGAAGATCTCCTTTGTAGGCAACCAATTTGTAACCTCTTATAATAGAAGAATTTTAAAAAAATTTATGCATATGAATTATGAAGTATGAAATATTGTTCTCTTGAATGCTTTGCATGTATCTATTATTAATTTCATTCATGTATGTGCATATGCATAACTGCAGAATTTTAGTTCCACATTCCCTCCTCTTGCTTCTTGTACTCTTGCCTGGAGAGACTAATTTTAAATAACATAACAAGAAGATGACCTAATATCAATTTCAAATAATAGGAATGACTAATTACAAAATAATTTAAGAACTTGATAAATAAATACAATGCCTGCTAGGCAAAGTTAGTTGTG